GTGTGTCTGTGAATTTGTGACGTGTTTGTGCACTCATGCCCTCCTTTCCAGAGTGGGCACAAAGCAGATTGAGGTTTGCTTAGCAGAGCATAGCAGGCTTAGCAGCTTAGCAGCAGCCGAGCTGGTGAGTCATGGTCGGAAAGAAGCGCAAGGCCGCTATTTATTTGTTGCTGTCAATCATTGTTACTCAGTTACTCTTAGTCTTAGTCTTAGTCTCGATCTTGCTCCACAAAGTAAAGGAATCACTATAGCTGTAGCTATGGCAGCTATGAGAAGTGACAGCCTGCCAGGGCGACGAGGAGGCTATGGTTCCTGTTCCCAAGACTGCACCAGCAGCACCGGAGACACGAAGACGGAAAAAAAGTTCTCTGGGCGACTTGTGCTGCTGCTTCTGCGGTTGCAAGAACTCCCAGGACGGCTTGAGCAGGGTTTGGCCTGAATTTGGAGATGTCCTGTTGTGTGTTCCGGTTTGGGTGCAGGTGTAAGCTAGCCTGCCAGCGTGTGCATGTGGCATGTGTTGAGGTAGGTCAGGTAGGTGGTCTATGGCCAGGAGGATTGTAAAGATGATGTCTTGGAGCCACCAGTGTTTGAATTGTGTACAGTGTGCTCAATGTGCTAACAACACTCGTGGCTTCAACTTGGTCCTGGTACAAGTGTGGGACAGGGCAATGTGTTGTTTTTTGGGGAGTTTGAACAGTGTTGTGTTGCATCGGCTCCAGACCCAACCCTGCTAATGATTCCGCATTCGGCAGTATCAGAGTGTCATGCCACAAAGGCCAGGCGGCCAACCCCACCTTGTCAAATGTGCTGCAGGACGTGGAGTGGGGCACTACTCCACAGGCATGCTTTGCATGCGAGGACAGAGCCTTGCTGCTCCGGCCTGCGTTGACCATCGCCTACTTGGTCACGCTCTACACCGAAGGGGCTGCAGCCGAAGATGGCGGATTCTTCAAGGAGGACTTCGACGAGGCCACCCAGGCAGTAGAAGCTGACGTGGCCAACTTCGTTCCCAAGTCCATGGTGCAGACCCAGGAATGCTATGGATTTCAAATTTTCCAAGACTTTGGTTTGCTGACCGACAATGAGCTGGGTCCACTTCTCGGAGCTCTGCCGGAGACGAAGAAGAAGAAGAAAGATGTCACGATTCCCTGGCAAGGCCCAGAAACCTTGTCCCACTACAACTTGGTAGACCTCGCAGACCTGTCCTATGAAAGTTCTGTTGGGTTGCGGAAAGTTCGTATGTACTACGAGAGCAGTGCGGAGCGCAGCAAGATCTTTCTCAGCCCGAAGACACAGCTTGTGGAGAGTCAAGGTGACCATGTGTTCAAGCATGTTGCAAACTCATGCATTGCTGCTCGCCCTGACGGTCTTACACCAACGGCAGGCCGGCCCAAGACCATCTCGCAGCTGAAGGTGGACGTCATGCAGGCACAGCTGGACATGGAGACACCTGCCGCCGAGGAGAAGGACAAGGAGGAGGATGGGATCGTCGACACAGAGCCTGATGGGAGCAAAGCGGGCAAGAAGCGAGCGGCAGGAATCGGCTTGGTGGCAGCTCCGAAGAAGGTGAGCAAAGGCAAAGGTGGAGGCAAGGGCAGCAAAGTGCCGAATCCGCGCAGCCCTGTCCGTTCCGTGCCGTCGACACAGCCATCCCAGGCATCGCAGCCGTCACAGCCTGCCAAAGCCTCGGTGTCTTCGACCGCCGAGAGGGCCGAGACCCTCTCCCAGTCCACGGCTGGCAATGCCAAAGGCACTAGGGCTGCCCTGGCAAAGTTTGAGGGCGACGAGGACATGAAGACGGTGGCAGCCTTCCAGTTGAGCAATAACTCGCATGCTCCCTTGAAGTCGCTGGAGGGCTTGGTGGTCATTGACTTCCTGCTTGGAGAGAAGGATCAGAAGCATCTGACCAACATCTTGAACGGTGTCCCGAACTTGGTCGTGTAGTACTAGCGGTTATTAGCGGCTAGGGCTACGGCTAGGGCCAGGGATGGTATCGGATGGTGCTTATGCTGTTGATGATGATGGTCGTGTAGAATCGAGTTGGTGATGTTACTGATGGTGCTATGTCATACTACAGCACAGGAAGTAAAGCGGAAGCAATGGAGGTCTATCCTAGGTCCTAGCCCTAGCCTAGCTGCCTAGCTGAGGGGTATATGATTGTGCAAGGATTGTAATGAGCGAGGACTTGAATCCTGCAAACTTGCAAAGATGCTCACGGGACGACTTGAGTCTTTCAGACTTCCGAAGATGCCGAAGACACTTTATTGAAGGACCAGAGTCATTCAGACTTGATGATGCTGGCTTGGCTGGATATACGAATAATGCAAAATTTGGTTAACAAAAGCCTATTAGAGTAGTGGTGATTAATGATGATCTATTGGTTACTACAGCAGCAGAAGCAGTAATGATTATGATGATTTGCTACTACCACTACCACTACCACTACCATCATTGCTGTTTGTCATTAACGCCAAAAAAAAGACTAAACAACCTTACCCTTACCAGGCTTACCACTGCTACCTGCTACCAGTACCTCAGCACCGCTACTGCTAGCTGCTAGCTATTAGTATACCACTAGTACGAACACCGCCGCCGCCCCCACCTCCAGCACCATCACCAACACCGTCACTGCCGCTCCCGGCGCCACAACAACAACCACTACTTGCGCACTTGCAGTAGTAGCAACCGGCAGCATTAATAGCAATAGTAATGATCTCCCCAATACCACTATACCAGTCACTACCACTTCACTGCCACCATCACTACCACGTTGCCGCCACTACCCCCGCGGCCAGCACTGCCGCCACCAGGTGCTACCGCCACAACCACCACAGCCACAGTGGCTGCTGTACTGCTAGCTGCTACCACTTCCATTAGGGCTGGTGCAAGTATCAGCCACTGTCAGTGCCAGGACGACGACTACATAACAGTACATGAACACCTTGCTAGTGCTATGACAATGATTGGTGATTAGTACTAGTACTACTGCTGCTCTTGTTGCTGCTGCTGCTGCTGCTGCTACTATTGGTACCACCACTACCGGCACCGCCCTTTTTGTACACAGCTGCATGTGTAGTTAGTGTTATGGGACACCAGAACCTCTGAAGCTTGCCTGGTGGCTTGTTTATTGTGGCCTGATGTTGGCAAGCAGTGTGTAAATGCGAACGTGTTTGTCTTCCTCGTCTTTGTGTGGCTTCAAAGTCAAGTTCCAAATCTGATTTTGCTTTATCATGACTGGTTGCAAAATAATTATTCAGTGTGTGCCGGCCCAAGTTTCGGCCCGGCCAACAACTGAGCTCTTTCTTGTTAGTCTCTGCTCGGGCTGCTTTGCTTGGATGGCAGATAGAAAGAGCCAAGATGATCGTCAGCAATCGCAGCCGTGTGTGCGACACATTTGAGTGTTCATTGTGTTCGTTCATGCACCTGCAAGAGTCAAACAATCAGCGGATAATTGCTGCCACACCAGATGTTGCAGACCTCGTATGCTCAGGCAAAGAAGATCATGGAAACCTTGGAGAAAAAGGGCCAGCAACATGAGCTCAATTTGCTGAAAGATCGGATTGAGATCTGTGAGCATGGCTTCGCCTTGGGGTACAACAATTTGTCATCCATGAAACCGAGTGTGATGCAAGCACATATCATGAGCACGAAGAAGCAATGGGAAAAGTACCCAGTGTCTTTGCAACTCGGCATTGTGGCCAGACATGCACAAGCTTCATTGGAGAAGGTGTTGCTGAGCAAGAAGAAGGAGTCAGAGTGCTGGAAAGAGGCTGCGGTCGAGCTGGTGACCTTCTTCCAGTTCGACGTCGAGCAGATGCTGACTCTGGATGCTACAAGCTTCGATGAGCACTTTGACGGCCACGCCCCCACGTGGCAGACGGGCATCATGATGATGAGCGTGTTGGCTCTTGAGCTTGCAGAGGACAGCCTGTCCAGCATCAAGCTGGAAGACGACGATGGCTTGACTGCTGAAGCTGCCCAGACGAAGATTGCAGAGCTTCAGAGCATTGCCACGGACTGTTGTGCTGTTGTGTTCTGCAGTGTTTTGCGAGTTTTGTATGTCGGAGTGTGGGTGTTTCTGTGTCTGCATGTCTCTGAGGTAAATGTGTGCATCCACGCTGTAGGCAAGCATGCAAGCAGTCGTTGGATGAATGCAAGTACTATCGCGGCTAAGTCTTGAGCTGCTGGCGCCATTGTATTTTACCAACCTATTACCTACTTAGGATCTATACTTCTCTCTATAGCTCAAACAATATCCATGTCTATGTCTGTAAATGTATATGTGTGCAGATTTGCTCTGAACCATAGACATCACACCCGAAAAGGGTGGGTTCTTGTGCTACGACTGCTGCGGCTGCTAAGAACATTTGAGCACCAAAACAAACATTGATACGGGTAGTTGGGCAGTTGGATGGTGGGGATTCGTGATTCGGGAAAATGTCAACAAACCCAGCTTTTGTACAGAATTGACCAGGCACACTTCAATCTCACGAGATTGAAGGAAAACATTCGGAACAGCCCATGGATGCTGTGTGGTTGGTCTGTCTATGTCATGTGTCGGTGCAAGCTGTAAGCTGTTCGAAGCCATGGAACGGGGAGCAGGGGCTGTGATGATTATGTGAATGACAATATCATTTGCTGGTTGCTGGCTGTGAGCTGGTCATTGTTTCATAAGCCGAACAGAAATCGTCCATCATCGTCAGTCGTCCCTGGTTTAGTCAAAGTTTAGTCAATGTAGTGTAGTTAGTCTAGTGACTGACGTGTCGTTGGTTTTTGTGGCTGTGGTTGCAGAAAAAATGGACAGTATGTTAGTGCGTGCTCAGGCCCAGGCAACTGGTGTGTCCGAGTCGGCCCATGCTGGAGCAACTAAATCTTTTGCAACCCATGCTGGTGTGGTATGTAGAATGCACACTGTAGATCGTACGTAGAACCTGTCACACCTTCTCAGGTGTCGTTTGCTGCTAGCTGCTAACTGTTAGCTCTTGGTGTGTTGCTTGTCTGACCCAGGCGCAGAGGTACAGGTACACATGTGATGTTGTCAACTCAGCAGTTGCAGCTTGCAAACCTGCCAAGCAGGACTTCGGAAGCAAACTCCGTGCCCTCTTCACCCACCCGGCTTGGATTGAGCTGCTCAACTTGCAAGAGAAGGCCGCCGATGTTCACATCCTTGTCTGCAAGCACCTCTACAGGCACATCGAAGCTATGTCGAGCTTGTTTACATCGTGGATTGACACCCCGCTCGTGCCCGTCGCCGAGGCTTTTGAGCAGATTCTCGCCATGGCCAAGGCGATCTTGCACTTGCATGCTTGGAACCCTGAGTCGGACGCAGGCTTCGACACCCTGAAGCCGACGGTACCCGGTGATGTGTTTGACTTCATGAAATGCGACAAGCAGTTTGAGCGGAGCCTCAGCAAGATCTTGCAAGATGGCTGGTGGAAGGCTCAGGTAGCCGAGATCGCAAAAACGGCAGGCTCGCGTCCTTTGGTACAGGTTCAGTGGCGAGAGCTGAACACCTTGCTGCAGGACATCTCCCCGGAGCAGGCCACCGCCCAGCATCTCTCCCGCATCGCCGAGCTGTTTGAGACCGTGGGCAAGGGCATGCGTGAGAAGGAGATGGGTTCCGTTGGAGGTAAGTGCAAGGACTTGGTGGTCGGTGTTGTTCAGAAGCTCCTGAAAAGCGAGGCCACTGCCCTGGACATGACCCAGCTGTCCAAGCAGGCAGACGTGGTGATGTCCTTGCTGCGAAGGTTTGGTCATGAGCCCCAGATCCCAACACTGGTGGACGACTTTGCCAGCTGGCTGGAGGGTACCACTAATCAGCGTCAGCTTGCAACGCTCATTGCTCACATGGAGAAGTGTGCCCGTGGCAGCATCGACTTTAAGGCGATCAAGCAGCTTGTGCCAGGTGTGGGCAAGGACAAGGAGCAGTCTTATGCCGTGGCAGCAGATGAGGCGACCAAGTTGTGCGAGGCAGCGTGTAACTTCATGGTCAAGGGCCTGCTGACAGTATCTGACCAGGCGGCTAGCTTAATTCAATGTTGTGTTTGATGGCTGCTACAGTCACAGTCCTTACAAACATAAGCCGGGTGGGCTTTGCAGCGGCAGCTAGCATAGACTAGACTAGGCTCCAGAAGTAGTTTCCTCTTGTTGAAGTTGAAACTGGTGTTTACTTCTGTTACTACTGAAGTGTTATCATATCTATTTCGGTGCCAGGTGAACACCTCGGCAGCCGATGACGCTGCGTGCACGCAGCGTACTGCCGAGGTCAGGCTGAACCTTGCCATCCTGAACGGTGTTTCCAAGCTTGTGAAGGACCTGGTCAGTGATGAGAACCCTGGCCGTGATGCTTTCACTGCCTACATCAACAGCTGCATCAGCCTCGGTTTGGCAGGGGCTTTCCATGCCAAGGAAATCAACCTTTTGGAGGGCCTCGGGCCGGATGCCGAGACCCGTAACCAAGCAGATGTTGAGGCCAAAAGGCTTCGCCAGGCAAAAACAGCAAGGGCGAAGTGTGTTGCTTCGGAGGCGACTTGTGTGGCAGCCCAGCAGAAGTTGCTGCCGTTTGTCAAGGCCGAGGACGGCAGCGCCTTGCACAGCCTCGTGACGTTGAAGCTTTGGGAGTC